CATTCATGAAAACTCCACTCTCATGACCTCATTAACTCTCAAAGGCTCAACCTCCTATCACATGGGGTGGGGGAGGGGAGTTAGGATTCTAACATGAATTTGGGAGTGACACAAACATTCAGTTCATAACAGACAGATTAGAATTGTTTATCCTCGGATCTTTGATTTTGAAAAATTTTATCCTTAAAATTTTCTTGCAAGCACCCTTAACTCTACTCTCATTCCCCTTCTCTTTGTAGACAATGCTGAAATTTGTATTTTCAGTCCTGATCGCTCCCTGTACTGTAGACTTGATATTGCTATGAGAGATCACTAATAGATGTTTCAAACTAAGTATGTCAAATGATTCTTGATTCCTAGGTGACACCATGATACCTGCCATCTTTATTTCCTTTATCGTACTCACCAGTGTCTGTAATCATCTTGTTTATTATGTCTTTTCTCCCCTTGCTAGAATGTAGACTCCTTGAGGACAGCGACTCTGTTTCTCCTACCTGCCCTACCCCAGGCCATCCCCAACTCTAGGAACAATACTTAGTTCATAGCAGTCAGTAGATATTTGTAAATAAATGAATGAACAGATATATAAATACATAAGATGAATTCACTCTATCTTTTCTTTCCACTCCAACCTTGTCCCCAATTGGAAGATTTCCATGATAACTTTGGTCTTCAAATCCATGAGGAACATGTGTTTATTTCTCTTCACATCCACAGTACTCCATTTCTGGGAAAGTTGAATGGGTATCAGAACTCTTCTTGTAGGAAAGCAGAGACAAGAAGAAACTAAGGTGAAGATATGCTGGAGATCATATGGCAGAGAAACAACAGGAGAAAAGCTCAGTAAACCGAAAGTGGGTGCATTAACATCAGAAAGCTATTTAATTTAGTGTTTTCCAGATCAAAATTTCCTTTCTAACACTTAGGAATTTTGACCCTCATTTTCGAAACAGACCTTTGCACCAAGTCCTGTGGTCTCTGGCTGTGAGCCTCTCTGTCTCTTGCCTCTGTTCCCTGTTTCTTGGCTGTGGTGCCACTTAGTTTCATTTCCAAATTTTGGTTTCCTTTCCTAAAAGATGGCCTGCCTTACGTGTGAATCATATGCAATAGTGATTGTATGGGCTGAGGCCCAACTGAAGTGGAATGGGGAAACTGCTCTGCAAGGAGCACGGACCCTTCTCTGAGGCCTTCTTGGTCCAGCTACCTTCTCCTCTATCCAGTCATGCCTGCCTATCTTCGTGCCCACCCGCCTGGTGGCTGAACTTGAGCTAAGAAGTGGACAAACATGTGGGTGAAATCAGGTAAAAGTTAGGTTTGGAGCCAGGCACGGTGGCTCACACCTGTAATCCCAGCACTTTGGGAGGCAGAGAAGGGCGGATCATAAGGTCAGGAGTTTGAGACCAGCCTGGCCAACATGGTGAAACCTTGTCTCTACTAAAAATACAAAAAATTAGCCGGGCATGGTGGCGCATGCCTGTAACTGCAGCTACTTGGGAGGCTGAGGCAGGAGCACTTGAAACCAGGAGGCAGAGGTTGTGGTGAGCTGAGATCATGCCACTGTACTCCAGCCTGGGCAACAGAGCAAGGCTCTGTCTCAACTAAATAAATAAGTCAGTCAGTCAGTCAGGGCTGGAGATGAGTGGAGGGGATAGATTCATACAGAGTCAAAGGGAGATAAGGTGAGGAGTGGGATTGGGTGGCTGCAACTGAATGACAGTGTGTGCACATAGCATTTGTCCTGTTTGTGAACAGCCCTTGTGCGTTCTCAACTTCAAGAATATAAAGTCATTGAAGAGGCATAAAGATGTTGGAAAGACCTTTGCAAGAATTGGCCAGGGACCTGTGAATCAGACATGTCAAGGATTAATATACCATTTCCTGCATTTTCACGAGTGGTAAAAATTTATATTTTCTTAGTAATTTCAACAGCAGCAACATTCACTACTACTACAACTATTGCCAACACATCCTCTGTTTATTGAGCATCTATTATTTGCTAGGTGCCGTGCTGTGTGTTGTACTTATATTATCACTAATCTTTATAATCCTAGGGAATAGGGATTGTTTTCCTCATTCTATACATTTTACAAATAAAGAAATTGAGTTGCAGGCTGGGTGTGGTGACACACCTATAATCCCACACTTTGGGAGGCTCAGGTGGGTGGATCACCTGAGGTTAGAAGTTCGAGACCAGCCTGGCCAACATGGTGAAACTCTGTCTCTACTAAAAATACAAAAATTAGCTGGGTGTTGTGGTGCATGCCTGTGGTTCCAGCTACTCAGGAGGCTGAGACAGGAGAATCACTTGAACCCAGGAGGGAGAGGTTGCAGTGAGCTAAGATTGTGCTACTGCACTCCAGCCCCAAGTGACAGAGCAAGACTCCATCTCAAAATAATAATAATAATAAATAAATAAATAATAAATCGAGGAGCAGAGCAATTAAGTCACTTACACAGGGTTAGACAACTAAAAACTTACAAAATCAGATTTTGAACCTCCAGGTCTATCTGGCTTTAAACTCTAAAAGTTTTTATTTTATTTAAAAATAAAATTTTAAAACAAAATCATGCTTAAGTTTCGTGTTTTTACATGGGGATATAAATGACATATTTATGCCAGTATTCTGGAAAAATATGTTGCTATTTATTTATTTAGAGAAAGAGTTTCACTGTCGCCCAGGCTGGACTGCAGCGGTGCGATCTCAGCTCACTGCAACCTCTGCAATTCTCCTGTCTCAGCCTCCTGAGTAGCTAAGACTACAGGCTTGTGCCACCACGCCCAGCTAATTTTTATATTTTTAGTAGAGATGAGGTTTCATCATGTTGGCCAGGCTGGTCCTGAACTCCTGACCTCAGGCTGTCTGCCGTGGCTTCCTAAAGTGCTGTGATTACAGGCATGTGCCATCATGCCCAGCTAATTTTTGTATTTTTAGTAGAGATGAGGTTTCACCATGTTGGCCAGGCTGGTCTTGAACTCCTGACCTCAGGCTGTCTGCCTTCCCAAAGTGCTGTGATTACAGGCATGGCTTGCTTTTTAAATAGAGTATGTTGTTTTATAATGTACCTAACATACTAGGTATAATAGGTATGTGTATATATAAATATGCACCATATATATTATGCATATAATTGTGTGTGTGTGTGTGTGTGTGTGTGTGTATGACTGGGTCTTGCTATGTTGCCCAGTCTGGATTTGAACTCTTGGCCTCAAATGATCCTCCAGCCTCAGCCTCCTGAGTAGCTGGGTATATTATATATGTAATATTTTTTATTTCACACTGATGTAGCACTATATATGTACATTATATATGTAATAATTTTATTTCACACTTGTAAAGTGTGACAGGTATATGCTTTACATATATTAATTCATTTAATCTTCATAACTCTGTGATATACTTTTATTATCTCCATTTTACAAGTGAAAAAACCAAAGTCATATTTGGATGTGCCCTAAGATACAGGTTGTTAGAGGCAAAGCCAATCATGCCCTTTACTTAAGCTAAATAAGTACATGGGAAGTGGGGAGGGCAAACATTTTTACTAATAACAGTGACCAAAAATATTTGATGACTAATGCTCTAGGCTTGACCCGAGACCACCAGTCAGACATAGCAATTCCTACTTTCAAGATTTAAAAGGATTTTAAGCATTATTTAGTCCTGCCTTTTCTCCACTGATAGATACTGCTGTGCAGGCAGAGGTGAATGAGGTAGAGTGATATACAGACAAGAGTCTTGGAGACATCTGTACTCGGAAAACTGTGTATGTGTGTATGATCATACAACTTTCCCCATTAAAAAATGTTCATCTTTGCCAATTTTGTTCTAATTATTAATTAAAAAAAAAAGACTTGTTTGTTTCAGAGACAAACTCTATTGAAAGAGAGGAGGATGGGAGGCAGAAGGCCTGGATGAGAATCCCAGGTGGAAGAGCAGAGAAACCCAAGCCTGCTCTCTTCCCTGGGTGCTCATCCACGTGCAGCTTGGCTGGTAATGGCTCTAATTCAATGGCAATCAAACCCAGGATAAAACAATTTTCTGAAATAATAGATGAACAAGAAACATAAAATTTACCAAAACCTAATTTCCACCTACACACACACTTAGTTTAAAATAAGTATGCTGTTCTCCCCACCTCGTCCCCATCCTTGGTTTACCCTAAGCAACTTTGTTACCTTTCCATACACCCACCAGAGCGCTTAGCTAGCAGATTAATTAGGGCACATTTAACCTTACATACTATGCTATAATTACAGTTTCTAGGTATGTGAAGTAGGTTGAGAGGTTTTGTGTAGTCAACGTTTTGGAAAGACCAGAATTCTAAAGTATGCACTTAAAAGAAATGGCTGGATGGAGCACGTGGGGTATGTGTGTGTCGCCGCAGTTCCCTTAGTTTCAAGAAGAGGGATTTTAGGTAAAACAAAGGGAAAGTGAGACGGAAAGGATTGCCCTGCTAAATGAGAGCGGCAAAAGCCGGTTCCGACGCCTTTGGGCATCTAAATCCAAAGCCTGCCTTTCCCGTTCTTCAGTTCCCTGGGGAGGGCTGTTGGGGGTGGGAGGTGTCTTTCTTCCATTCTTCCACTCTCCCTAAAAACTTCGTAGACAGTTGACCAATACTAAACTAAAGGCTTATCGGAGTCAGGAAAGCCAGGTAGGGCACCCCACGTGGACCTCAACGCATCGCGGAAGCACGTCCCGACATCACACAAGAACAAGCTCCACCCGAGGCAGTTCCCGGGTGGGTGTGGCCTCCGTCGAAGGCCCCGCCCCTAGAGCGCGTCGTTAGGGGCGGGGCGAGGGAACTGGCGAGAAAGGGCGGGGAGCGAGTGGTGTGGGTGTGCTCGTGCCCGCGCACTCGTGCCCGGCGTGTGGGCGAGGGCGCGCCCGTGCGCGCGCAGGGGAGAGGCCAATCTAGGCTGCCGTTGTGGAGTTCCACTGGAGGGGCGGGTGAGTCACCTGCGAGCGGCTGCGCTGGCGGCCCGCCAGTCGCCCGCCGCGTCTGGATCGCGCTGGCTGCGCGGGACTGCGGACCGCACACACCCTGGGAGGCCCGGGCGGGGAACGGGCAGAGTCTGAGCCCAGCGTCCGCGACGAGGAGGAATCGGACCTACGCTTTCGCCGCCTTCCGCGGCCGTCGGGGTAGGTGAAGCCTGGGTGGGTGGTCCGCCGGCTCCTGGCTGGCCGGGAGGGGAGACGCGAAACTTTCCCGGCGCTTCCTCCCGCGGTCCCGGAGCCGTCGCGGCGCCGGGAGGTGTCGTCGTCGCGGGCGGTGGCGGCGGACGCCATGTTGGGGTCTGTGAGAAACGGGGCGCTCCCGGCCGCTCCCCTCGCGCCCGGGCTGGCTCCCTGGCCAGTCGCCGCCACCGTCCCGCCAGCCCTGGAGAGAGCTGCGCCCGCCTGTAGGACGCCGCCGCCGCCGCTGCGAGGGAACGGGGGCCGGCGGGGAGGGTTCTGTCCACCGATCTGCGGGGCAGGGGCCGGCGGACGCGGGAAGAAGCCCCCGGGCCGGGCGGGAAGTTGTAGGGCCTGAGGTCGGGGGTCCGGGACACGGCCAGGGTCGTCTCAGGGTCCCAACAATTTTCTGGCCGAAAAGTTTGCAGGGTCTGCACATCGGGGACGTTGTAAACTGAATTACATATTTGTATGTCACTTGGGAGAAAAAAAATGGCCTTGCAGAACTTGCTCTGATAGAAGCGATGGTTTATTTATTTGGAGCCTTTAAAGTTTTATGATCCTTTGCCGATTTTATTTTTCTTTCTAAAAACGTGATTGAAGGCCGAGAGCGCGCTGCTGGTGCGGCTTGAATAGCCTTGTGCGCTCTCCGTACATTCCAGCAATAACTGGAGTGTGCGGTGGAAGTGGGTATGAAGGTTACGGACACCTAAGCCGTCCTCGGTAATTCATAGACTCACCAAACACGTTGTTAATAAATGCTTTTTTTGTGGTGTTGTGTAGTACGTTGCTGAAGAGAGTCATTAGAGAAAGATTTAGACACAAACTTTGAGAGTCTTAAAGGCATGTGTTCTCTTAAGAATGAGGTGATCTTGACAGTTTGGTTTTTTTCCTCCCTTTAGTGTCTTAAGAGTGAATGCCTACGGTGTTTTGAGCATTTACCTCTTTTTTTGATACTCTGGTACCTCGTGGGGTCTTCACGTTCATTCAGTATTAATGAAGGCTTCAGTGTAATCTCTTTGGGTCCCGACCACACACGAGGTGAGTGGTATTAACCTTTTTATTTGGAACGTACACGTAATCGGCCTCAAAACTAGTGTAGTGACTAAGGCATCAAGAGAAAAGATTCAGCCTCAGTAAATAAATCTAAATTATTTTTAAATAAAGGCATCTTTAAAATTCTGTTTAAATGAATTGAAAAGGCTCTTAAGCACCAATACAATAAGCCCTAAAACACCAAATTCTTGGAGAATTTTTTTACTTTTTAGATCTAAAAATACAGCTTTTGCTCATATTTGATTGCCAATTTCTTTTTACTTTTTTCCCTCCCTCACTCACTCCCTTTCTTTCTCCCTTTCTTCCTTACTTTTCCTTCTTTTCCTTTTGTGAGACAGGGTCTCGCTCTGTCGCCCAGGCTGGAGTGCAGTGGTGTCATCTCAGCTCACTGCAGCCCTGACCTCCCGGGCTTAGGCCATCCACCTCAGCCTCCTGAGTAGTTAGGACTGCAGGTGCGCACCACCATGCCTGGCTAATTTTTGTTTGAATTTGTAGAGACAAGGTTTTGCCATGTTGCTCAGGCTTTATTGCTAACTTCTGTTGTTGATAAAAATTCTTTTAGTTTTGCTTCATTGTCAAGTAAATGCCATTATACTACTTATTTATTTTTATGGATGAACGATTTCTTAGAATTGAAATGACTTAACTAATTTCACAAATGTAGCAGCCAAGCTGGTATTTAACTGAGATCTGAGTCTGAAGCCTTCTTATTTTTCCTATAGCATAACTTTGTAAGATACATAACTAAGTCCTCTGGAGCAATCTGTCCATCTTGTTTACTGTTAGCATTGTTCTTTCTGATTTGAATTTAGTTCTTCAGTATAAGCACTTATTTCTCAGAGAGCTGATTTACAAGTGGTTCTTGTGATGAAATTTTTCCTTAAAAATATTTAGGCCTATATTCTTTGAAGCCTTTTCTGCTGTGTTCTCTCATTCCACTCCCTCTCTCTCCCCAGAAATCAATTTCTCCCATGGTATTACTGTAAATGCCGCATAGATCTGTCATGACATCTCTTTGACAGCAGGCAACACATCGGGTCTGATTTGCCTCTTCATTCCCTGCATGCCAAGAGCATAGCAGATGCTCAGGAAAGGTTTGAATGGATGAGTGCACATATGTTTGTTCCTTGTAAATTTGCTTCATGAATTTCTTATGAAATCATAAATTCCATGAGCAGCATAGTTAAGTCTTCTTTGTAGTCTTTTTCCCATTACATGCCATCAGCTCCATTAAATCCTCAAACTGGTTTATTGTGTGTGTGTGTGTGCGCGCACGTGCATATATGTATGTATTTTGTTGTGGTGGTGGTGTTGAGAATTTAGTAACTGAGTGAATTTTGGCCTGGGGAAACTTACTAAGTTCCATAATATTTATGCAACTTAAATATTAATGAAATTTCTAAGTAGATAATGGATTAAAGTATAATTACTGATGTATGAGAGAGAAGCCATGGATCATCAAAGGGATTATAATCATAATTTTAAGTGTGATTGAATTTATTTGAACTTGATGGAAATATTGTTAATGCTTGAAAATTTTGAAGGTCATATTTATACATTTAAGCTCTTGGAACAAATCTCATTATAGCTTTATCAATTATTGTTTTGCCAGAATTGTGTTAGAATTTTTTAAATGCCTTGCTTAATAGGAAGTATATGAATTTTATTCTTCTATTGTAAGTTTATCTTTGCTGAACCAGCTTTGTACATGAACTGCCTGCTTAATACTTAAAAACAAGGTATGTGTTAAGTGAATAAAAAATACTTCATGAATACGCTTTCACAGTGTTACTTTAAGTTGCAAAACTTCTCTAGGTTAAGGTGTTTTGTAATTCTGTAATGACTGTAGAATTTAGGGTTTTATTTCCTGCCCCCACCCAAGGTAACTTTCTCCCCTGTCAAACTGTAAACCACAAACTACTGTGCTCAATTTAGGGAGGTCCTGGGAAGAGAATAAAAGGCATTCAAATAGTTGCTGTGAATGTACTGGAAAGAGAGCAAGTTGTAGGATGGACTGGAACAAATAAACCTTGTCCTGGCTCAGCTCCTTGCTAGCTTGTGACTTGAACAAGCCACTTCACTTCTGTAAGCTTCACTGACTCATTTGTGAAATGGGCCTCAGAAAAAGTTGCCTCAGTGATATCGGATCACCCAAGATTCGATGTTTGTGGAATGGCCTGGAATATGATAGTAGGTATTATTTTAACAAATGAACAGAGTGGCAGTGAACTATATAGAATTATATTCTCTTTTAAAGGGAAGCAGCCTGTAGAAATACCTAGTTCGGTTTTTACCTTGGCTGCACATTAAAATCTCCTGAGGGGCTACTTAAAAATACTATTGCCTGGATCCCACCCCAGGACAAATAAATCAGAATTACTTGGTTTGGGGACAGAACATAGATAATTTTGCCTCTTTTTTAAAAGCACCCTGATTTTAGTGTTCAGTCAGATGGAGAACCTTTGATTTAACTCAATCTCTCATCTCCTTTTTTATTCTCTTCATTTCGTAGTTGTATAAAATGAAGAGGGGTTTGTTTAGCTGCTAGCAAAATTCCTATTAGGCAGGCTGGAAAGGATGTATTAAATATTTGCAGCTGAGGAAAGCAAAGTGCATAGAGGTTAAGTAAAAGTTACAGTCATTTCTGGCCAGAATGGCCACATTTGCATCTGTACTTCACTAACTCCAGTGACCCTTACCCCTACTCTACATCAGCAGGCTGCAGGTTATGACCATGTTACTTAATCTTGTCATCATTCGGAACCATTCTACCTCACGTCTTAAACCCTGTGGCCAGATGGCAATGCAAGGGTCTGTTTTGTTTCTCTTTTCTGTCATATCTGGTGAAGCAGCTTTTTGTCCTTATTGTCACCTCCAGTCCCTCCTAGGCCATTAGTTGTCTTCCTTCTTTCCAACCTTGAACTCTGTAGTTTATATTCTCACCATGAACTCACTAGACCACATAGTCCCTCCTCTCCTTGATCTTTGCTGGGTATAACTGGTCAATTTGCTGCTTTTGTCCCTGCCCCACACTCCCCTCAGAAGTCACACTTCTGGTGCTTGTTACATATTTGTTTTCTACTGTTTGTTTTCTGCCTGCTGTGTACTAGTCACTTTCTAATTCAAGTTGACTCATTTTCTCTGTTGCTTTTTCACTCCAGTCAGGTTGCTAACCCCAGTCTTGAAACACTTGACTTTGAGCAGATTGCCTTGCTTCCTTCTAAAATGATTAAGATTTTATGATGTGAATTTTCTATTTTCTTCTTTGCACCAACTTTTCATCTTTTTTTCTTCGCATTTTCAGAAGTGGAACTATTTTGAAAGCTTTATAGTTGTTTCATTTAAACAACAGTTGGGGGAAAATAAAGATTTTTGTGTTCTTTGCTCATATTTTTATTAATTGTACATATAACTGTATTTTGCTTTTTATATTTATATTTTTCTACACATTATTCTTTGTTCCCAAACTAAAAGCGTTTTTTTTTTTTTTTTTTTTTTTTGTCTATGAGGGAATGTGTTCATCACAAAATAATTAGGCATATCAAAATATTATTAGTCTAGTACTTAGAGATAACCAGTACTAACTTTTTGGTGTTTATCAACCACTTTTAAGTAACAAATAGGCTTATACTATATGTGCTGTTTAGAAACTTTTATTTAATAAAATGTTTTAGCAGTTTTTCCACATTAAATATTATGTTTTTTTAAAAGTTTCCTAAAAATTCATGGATGTACCAAAATTTATTTAATTAGTCTCCTATTGATAAATATTTAGGTTGTTTCTAGCTTTTCAGTATCATAGACAGAGCTACAGTGAACTTCATGTGAACAACTTTGTACATTGTTAATTTTTGTATATATTATTGGAAATAGTAATGTTGTTTAAACTTGTTAAAGCATTTGTATTGCCAAAAATGGCATTTAGAAACGTTGTTCCAGTGTGTATACAGTATTGTCAAGAATATGAGGCCCATTTTTAACCACATTTTAGAGAGATGAATAATATGTTAATATCATTTGAATTTTTATTTGATTGGGACTGAGAGTCATTTTTTAAATTTATTGATTATTTTTATTTGTTGTAGTTGGTTTCTTTTTTTTTTTTTTTTTTTGAAATTGACATTTATTTCTTATTTTTCTGTTGGGATGTTTTCCTTTTTTTTTTGTAAATTTACAGGAGCCCTTTGTATATTAAAAATGTTGGCTGGGTGCAGTGGCTCACGCCTGTAATCCTAGCACTTTGGGGGGCCAAGGTGGGCAGATCAGATTGCTGGAGTCCAGGAGTTTGAGACCAACCTGGGCAATATAGCAAAACCCCATCTCTACAAAATATATAAAAATTAGCTGGGCATGATGGCATGCCTATAGTCCCAACTACTCAGGAGGCTGAGGTGGGAGGATTGCTTGAGATCAGAAGGTGGAGGTTGCAGTGAGTGGAGATTGTGCCACTGCACTCCAGCCTGAGTGACAGAGCAAGACCCTGTCTCATAAATAAATAAATGAATAAATGAATGTTGACTTTTTGCCATGTAACTTTAATATTCTTCCCCCAATGATGAAGTTTTAGAAGTTTAGGTAGTAAAATTTTACGATAGCTTTTTGTGATATATTTAACTATTCCTCAGCTAGAAATTTAGGTTTTGTTTTTCACAATTAGAGTTAATGCCAGAGAGAAAACTTTTTACATGCTGCACCCCCTCCACCCCTTTCCTCCAGTTTATTTCTCCAGGATACATTTTTGTGGGTAAAAATTCCAAATATTTTATTGTTATACATTACCATTAATCCTTGATTTTTTTTATCCATATGTCTCACTGCTGATTGTGACCTTCTGGCAGGTTATTTAGTCTCTGAGAGTTGTGAAACATGTGAGGGCAGGTTGAAAAGGTGCTTTGTGCTCCTTTGTCTCCCATTCTTTTTTCTCTTAATTTTCCTCCGGCTTTCTAATGGGGGTTCCCCAAGGTTGAGTCCTCTGCCCTCGTTTT